AGGTACATTTTACTTTCAGTGTAACATAAAGGAAAATATAATGTTTGTTTCTCAGGGAACATATGGTAAGGATTGTCTACACCAACCCTAAAATCCAAAGTGGATCAGAAGTTGCTCCTGGATGTCCAAATGACATTCAAAGACTTAACACATGCTGAATAAGTCTGAACCAGTTTAGCATTGCATTAAGAAATGTTGGGTAATGCTAAAACTCCAGATCAGCCTTGGAGAATTAGAGGTGGTGGTGTGGTGGTGACCTTTTCAGACAGGTTGTTATCCCAGGAGCATCCGTGTTTAAAAAATGCAGATGTTCCTGGGAGCCCATCTACACTTACCCCAGAAAACTTGCGCTTTCTGGATGGGTGTCCAGATGTTTTACTAGGACTTCCCAGTAGAACACCAGGATACTTAACCCCCTCCCCAGAAGCCCCCCCCCCAAACTCTGGTTGCCAGAGTTCTCCTGGTGTGTACAAATGACATGCCAGGAGAAGGGGAAGGGACAGGAGCGATTTTCCTCCTCCCCACTTTCTTCTGGCATTCTGGTAGCCCTGGTTTGTTCCAAATTAATTCAGAGTCATCATTTGGACAGGTCCCAGTTTTTGGTTCTGTCTGGATGCACCTTAAGAATCTTTTTTCCATCAGCATTTTCTCTGTCATTTCCTTCATCACAATACCCTTTATCCCGTCACCTCAAAATGCAGGTGCATGAATTAATCAATTTAAACTCTCATGCTAGTTTTCCTATGAAATAATACAAAAGTTTGTGTTTCTGAGTAATTTTCCCTTTTTTATTAAACATTTACTTTTTTCACACAGACACAAAGAAAGAAAGTGGAAAAGTCAAGCATAAAAGAAAAGGAAAAAAGTGTATGTATATATAGAGAGGGGGGGGGGAGATGGGGATAATGAAGTCATTGTTAGTAATTTAAATTTTTACCAATATCTTACATGACATAGAGGAAGGTGGAGGAGTTGAGGGGACAGTAAAATAGGCATTGAGTTGTAATTCTTACATCCATTTTTCATCTCTATTACACCTACAAACATTACTTAAAGTACTAAAAGTTCCACATGTCTTCTAAAACAAATAGAGTATTATTGTCAAGTAGCTTTTAACCTAGGCTGGATCTGCACTGTCATATAATTCAGATTATCAAAGCAGATAATCCACATTATCCGCTTTGAACTGGATTATATGAGTCCACACTGCCATATTGCCATATAATCCAGCTCAAACTAGATAATCTGGATTTTATATAGCACTGCAGAAGGGGCCCTTGTGGTCGTGTCTTTCTTCTTGTATTACCTCGTGTTGTTCTTCTCTTCTCTTCTCTTCTCTTCTCTTCTCTTCTCTTCTCTTCGTTATAATTTACTTGAAGTCTTTATCTAATTTTAATTAGCACACAAGAAATCAAAAAAATCAATTTCTTCTGTTAGTATGTTAATAGGTTAGCAACTTAATATTATGGAGACAAAAAATGACTGCATCACTATAACTATTATTCTTTCTCCCCCTTATCTACTCTGAGTAAAATATTTTCAGTCCTACCTGATTTTGGAAATGTGATCAAAAATACATCACTGTCTCTGATTTCAAAATTCTCCAGTGAATCAAGATATTCTGGTGTGATCAAATTTTGGGGAAAATAGCTTTGTTTGTATTTAAAAATGAACTTGCTTGATGGTTCCATGGTTGGTGCTGCTCACAGGACAATATAAAAAATGTCGATAGTTCTTCGAACTAGTTGGGTGGAATGAAAAACAACAAAGTAATATCAGAAAATTGCCCATGAAATCCATTCAGTTTCTCATTTTTTCCAGAAATTAAATTAATAACTTCTTGGGGGGGGGGGGYGAAGGGGAGGGCATATACTCAGATGTCACCAAATATTGGGTAAAATACCCTCCTATGTGCTTCAATTGGTATTTGTTTGATGGCTCCATTGCCAGTGCTACAAGAAAAAAAAAACATAGATTTTTCCAGCTAGTTGGATAGAATGAAAAACTAGCATCAGAAAAAAAATTAATTGAAATTTCCATGACATCTATTCAGCTTTCTATTAATCGGAAATCAAAAAAATCAAGGGAGGTCACGTGCAGCTCAGGCTTTATGAACTGATCTACACATAGTTAAGTTCTAAAATTTGCATACTTCCTACCAATACATTTATATTCATAATATATTATGACATGCCTTATTGTAAGTATACTGAGCAATGTTTTGTTAAATGATTTAGGACATGGCCCAATAGTTACTGTGAAGTCTCGGTCTAGCATTTCCCTGTTTGCCTGTTGGACTGTTCCAGTTTGCCAAGTTTAGAGTAGGAGCTTAGGCTCCCCCTATAGGCCGAGCTCTTTGGTTCAGCCCATTCTGCCTCAGAGCCTGGTGAAAGACTTTTTGGCTCAATTCCTTTTGATCATAGTTTATAGATAGTTGCCAGAAGAGTGTCTGGTCTGGCTTGCAGTCCGTACAGGCCATCCTTATCACATATTTGCCATAGTTCATATATAATACATGTTTCATAGATAGATGGTTTATTTTTGCTTTAGAGTTTATAGTAGATGTTATAAAGAATAGATAATATATGCTTCATAGAATTGTTAGATAATACATGCCTTAGAGTTTATAGTTTATAGAATACTTACCTCATAGATTAGAATATACATCCCCCAATAGTTAATAGTTATATATGCCATAGTTATAGCACACACTTGCCATAGTTTATAGAATACTTACCTCATAGAGTTTATAGTTTGTTACCTCAGAGTTTATATTTCACCGTTCTAACACCATCATAATCAAACTGTACTTTTATACCTTGATTGTTCAGTAAACAATTGTTGATTAATTTAATCTTGTTTTTAGAGTATCATTTTTGGGGGCATTATAGTAATTAGGGCATACCAATGGTCACTGGGAAAATAGCCAGGCACATTTAGTTTTCTCCTTAATCTTCCCAGTGTGCCATCATAGTTACAAATGATTAAAAAAAAAATAAGGTCATATCTGACAGCTAGTCACAACTACAATAGGGTCATTGTCTTGTTTACACCCCCCCCCCAATTCTAAGAATATTATGTCAGTAGAGTAATTATGGGGGTGAATGGAAGAATTTATGGCATAAAGAGACTGAGTGGAGCAGAGGAAGAGAAAATAAAAGAACTTACCCAGTCTCTGCTGTAATTTCCTACCAACCATAGAACTCCCTGTGAGCACTTAGTGATTGTGGTGGCATCTGCCAAGTTATAAAAGGGAATCCATGTGATCAGCAAGAAGTATGAGTGACTCTCTTCTTATTGCAAATGGCATGGAATTCCTAGTTTGACATCAACTGAAGGAAATGTAGGAAATGAAACCAACCTTTGTACATGGCATTAATCAACCTTGCACAGGCCTTCGACATGATGAATTGTAATACTCTCTGGACCATTATCTTGAAAATTGTATGTCCTGATATATTGGTGAATATCCTTCAACTCCTCCATGATAACATGATGGCAACAGTCTCGGACAGCAGTGAATCCCAGTGACCCAGTTAAGGTGGGATGAAGTTTCAAACAGGGATGTGTTGTTTTCTATCTTCATAGCCATGATTCTACATCTTGTTGACGGGAAACTTCTCATTGGTGTGGAAATCACATATTGGACAGATGGCAAACTCTTTAACCTCATCAGGCCAAAAGTAAAGATAAAACAACTTCTGTTATAGAACTCCAAAGTGTTGATGTTAATGTAGTCTGTTCTTGTTCAGAGGAAGGCCTACAAGACTCTATAAACACCTTTGCAGAAACATATGAAAAGCTTGGCCTCTCACTGAACATCAAAAAAAAAAACACAAAGTGTCTTCATAGTAGGTCCCTCTGCGCAACATTTCTTATAATGAGGCAGAGAGTGTTGGAGGGTTGGAACATTTGTAGGAATACTATGACGCTTGTTTATAAAGCCATTGTTCTTCCAACTCTTTTGAACACCTGCAAAACATGGACAGTCCCTCTCAACTTCTGAGACGATTCCATCAGCATTGCCTCCTAAATATCCCAAAAATCTCTTGGGATGTCAAGCAGACAAACACTGGCATTCTGGAAGAAGCAAAGATAATCAGCATGGAAGCAATTATCTTCTGCCAAAAACTTTGCTGGACTTACCATGTTGTCTGAATGCCCAATCACTGTCTCCCAAAGCAGTTACTTTACTGTCAGTTCAAGAACATATAACAGAATGTCCATGGACAGCAAAAGAGATTTAAAGATGAGCTTAAAGCTAACCTTCAAAAATGTGGAATAAACACTGAGAACTGGGAAGCCCTGGCCCTCAAGCACTGTAACTGGAGGTCAATTGTTACCAATAGTCCTTTGGATTTTGAAGACACCTGAGTGTCTTCAAAAGGGAGAAAAGTGCCAAGACAAAGGCACATCAAGCAAACCTTTGTGGTGACAGCCTTTGTAAGTAAAATAACGGGGGAACCTGGAAATCTATGTCCTTTTTGTGAAAGACCATCCAAATCTACAGTAGGTCTCTACAGTCACTTATGGACCCACTGCCAAGACTCTACCCTTGGAAGACAATATTATTCAGTCACAAGTAGTTATCTATACATAGATAGTTTCTCCTAGATTTCCTTAACCAGAGGCCTTTTGAATGTTTCCCTTTATTTCCCAAGAAATACTTATGTTCTCCCAGAAGAGCTGTAGTGCAGCAAAAAGCACATCTTCACTTTCTTTAATGCTGAGAAATGAGATTCTTCTGTCATACTCTTGCTGGTGCTAGGCACCACTGCAGGAAAAAAATGTTTAAAAGTGCTGGTGTCTATAAGACTGGTGTAAGTTACTAATGGAACTTGAGTCTAAAAATGCATTTTAGATGTCTAAAAATTGTGCATTTGCTCCTGGAAAAAGCCTTTCTAAGTCCTATTTTTCCAGCTTTCACAAATAGTAGTTAAACAAACGCAGCTCCAGTAATTATCTGGACAACATGACATTTGAAACCAGTCTGAGTTTTGGCAATTAAATGATTTGTTCTCTCTGCTTTGACAAGAAAAAAGGAAGAGTAACATGTCCTTAGAATGCAAAATTAGAAAACAGCATAGCCAACTTGTGTGAAGACATCACAAAACGAAATGTAACATTACAAAACGAAGCCAGAGAGCAGCTGATTGAATTTTGGAACGAAATTCCTTCAGTTCATATTTTTATAGGATCTGATACAAGTCATATTTTATTAACATTACACAATCCATAATACAATTATCTTTTTATCCTTTGCAGTTCTCTAAACCTTGCAATGATCTTAATGTTGTTTCAGACTGAAGGAAAATACAAAATTTTGTGAAGGAGGGAATACATGACACAAAACAGAAGATTTATAATTCTCTCACACCTCCCTACAAGTAATTATCCATTCTGTTCTCTTCAAAAATATGTATTTTTTGGAAGGGTATTCAGAATCTGGGCATTATGAGAAATCTGTTAAAATCATGCCCATTTTACCCAACAAAATTTGCAAAGTGATTTAAAAACAAATTGGGGCAAATCTGTTATTTTCACTGTGCAAAGCAAAGAGTCAAATTTGTTGTCCTTATTTATAATTCATCCTTGATATCCCAGCAGAACTTGAAGGGCAGCTTATCCATCCGTTCCTTGAAAACAGTGTCAAATCTTTCATTCTGTGCAACTGTCATTGTGTTTTTCCAGTCTCCAATAGTTCCTGGTGCAGAGTTCCGAGAAAAACAAAGTTGAAAATGATGGTTAGCATTCATTACTCACAAAGGAGACAGGGTAGTGGCTAAATTCTTACTGTGGGGAACTGATGCTATTTGGTATGCCACTACCAAACCACTACCTGTTGTCTCACATTGCTTATGAGATCATCTAGAAATATCACAGAGCTGCTGAGTACTGTAGCAGGAGTTTCTGAGATATTCCAAAGAGGGAACTACTGGTACAAAATACACAGAACTCAAAATTAATTTTTTGGTCTTGATTCTGGTGTGGTTCATTTGACTCAACCAGATATTATGTCTTCCTATACACTGTAGGGGGTTTGGTCTACCACTTTGGAAACCAGGGTTTGATTCCCTGCTTGGCTATGGAAACACACTGAGTGAGTCATACATTCTCAAACCCAGAAAACCCCATGATAAAACCTATCTTTGTCAGAAACAACTTGAATGTACACAATAAAAACAACATTAGTGGCATGTTCATGTTCCCCAGCCTTGCACTTCAGGCCAAAATTGATAAGTGTAGTAGAATAACAGTTCTATTAAATTAGAACAAGTTTTAGAGCTCCCCTACAATCCCCCCCCCCCACCACCACCACCACATGGAAGCAGCCTTCCAGCCCTTCTTGCTGTTGGTCTGTTTTAGTATTTTTGCACTCCTAACATCCCTTGGAAGGTTTTTTTTTTTTGGGGGGGGGATGATTTCTAGATTCACAACTTAATCAGACCAGCTGATTTCCCTACCATATGCCACTTGTTCTCCACTTTCAACAAAGAGCCCAGTCCACGATGCACAGGAACTTCTGACCAGGCTCCATGCCAAGAAGGGAGAACAAGCAGCAGACACCACCCCTGCAGCAACATGGGAGGCTTTCTGTGTTGCCTTTGGAACAATGGGGGGAAGCCAGGTGATGTGAGGCATGGGGTGATGGGTTTCCTCTGCCCCTCAATGGAACCCATGTATTTGCCATGATGCATTGCAAATCCATAGCCCTTTGCGATGAGATCCATAGTGGAATTGCTCACCTCTGATTTAAATCCTTATACATAATCCAATACAATAAAGCATGTTAATCCAAGCCTGGAAAATTACAAATATTTTTCTTTGTACCCAAAACATTTAAATAGTAAGTAAGGCAAGGTTATGGAATATTCAGACAGGGTCCACCACACTGCCCTCATTGGCCACTGAGTTACCTTTGCGCATAAAGCCTCCTTTGCTTAAATCTAGGAGGTTATCATTTGTAGCGGTATAATTACTTCTAGGATCCATACTCATTTTGTCAAATGAAGCCTTATCAACAACATCATCTATCTCCTCTTCAGTGTGTCTCTTTCCTAGGAAGTTGCATATTTTCATTACGCAGCCTCTCAGATCCTAAAACGGGATATGGTTTAGAAATGACACCAACTGGAAATCACTACAGACTACTCACATTATAAGTTACACTGGAAAGTAAAAAGAGTTTGATAATAAATTGTTTTTTGCCCCTTAAAGAACGTTAAAATTTTTATGGTAGTCCAATTTTATATTCTAGTCTAATGTTAAGGTAGCAAGTCAGAATGCCTTCTGCTGTGGCTACTTTGAGGATATTTATTGTTGCATTGTTTCAGTAGCTTGTGTTTTATTACATTGTTGTTTTGATTATCATATTCTCAGATACTTGGAAATTGCAAAAATCACATTTAACCTTCAGAATATTCCTTCTGTTTTCAACTGTGATTCCTGCCATTCACTGTGACATGTTGGATGAACATGAGGCAATCGTTCCAAGAGACTGTTGGCACAGGAAAGGCCTGCTACACATGTTCAACCATGAAATATTTGCAAATTGTCTATTAATCTCAAAAGGAAGGTTAGTTGGACAAGAATGAGACTGATATGGAAAGGCAGATATTCATGATATTAGGATTTTATTGAGCATGGCTTTTTAACACCAAGTGGTAAAACTGTGCCTTACCTTCTTCATTTCTTCATACATTAGGAAGAGAATATTCAAGTGGTCCCTCTGAGCAGACCAGCCTTCTACATGATCTAGCCATAAATCACCTATCACTTGTAAGAGAGAGTAAATGTTAGAATTCTTCAAAATAGATTTTGGCATCATAGATTGCTGTGGTGTGTGCTGCAAAGTTGCAGTTAGAGTTTTGGCCTCAGACATCTGGACTGAATGCTTAAATTCTGTGCAGGGATGGGTCCTTTGCACCTGATGACTGAGAATGATACACACAGAACATTATGTCGACTAAGCTGCTGAACCAACCCAGTGAAACACAAAATGGTGTATGGTATTGCTGTGCACAATTATTTAGGCCTTTTACAGAATTTCATGTCAGGGAACCATACTTCCTCCCTGTACCTAGAATGAGCAAATACGTAGGACCAGCATGTTGCCCTTTCTCACCACTTCAGTAACATTATTGAAGATTGGTTTATGTAATGCTATTTTATCAAAACATTTTAATACTTATTTCATCTGTAGAGAAATTATGAGGCAATATGACAGTGTGGCTAGTTACTTAATCCTTGCTGAATTTTTTTGCACTTGGTGCAAGTTTCTGAATCACACACACACATCCCCACACAGAATGCACCGCAGTAATCAGGATGTATGATTACCAATGCATAGGTCACCTTGTCTAAGTTAATTTTACCCAGGAATGGCCGTAACTGTTTACCAAGTGGAATCTGGTGAAAGGTACACCATTTCACTGTAGTCATTTGGGGCTCCACTCAAATCTCTAGGATGCAGTCACCAGATCATGGCCCTGCCTGCTCCTTAAGAGGGAGTAAAATCCCTTTGAGATCACAAAAAAAAAAACTAGGCTCCTAGACCTCCAAGACCCTCTCTTGTTGTCATCTCTGCTAAGGTCTGGCAATTCAGGATCATGGCTTCCTTAACTGAGTTTATCCACTGCTTTCCACTTTAGTAATCATCATTGCTTTTTATAATGAATAATGCCAGCTCATGATATGTGGAAAGTACTGTCACCTCAATTTAGTAATCTCAGTGCTCTTTTCTATAACTAGTGCCACGAGTAAGCAACCAAACAATCATAAAATGTATCTAAACTGCCAACATGTTGTGATGTCCAGTTGGTTTCTGTGGTCAATGGTATGTAAACCCACCAAGAGGCTGAGCAACAGTAGCAATCTCTTTCCAAATAAACATTATTCATTAGGCCAATGAGAAATTTTTCCATCCCCAAACTAGATTTCAATCCAGTTTGAAGCTAGACTAGAAATGTATTCCTAAACTTTCTATTTTGTCTCAACTAACATCTCAAAATAAATCCCTTGTATAAATTCAGTGCACTAGAAGGATCTGCTGTCTCTGGAGACTTCCAAGAGGACATAAAACTAGGCCATCACCATTATCTCAAGCACCTTCCACTTCAAAAGTCTATGAACTATGATGATGTTAAGAGGGATGCAACTATTTGCCAATGTTAAATAAAAGACTGTTGTGCAGTGTCTTTCATTTAAACATAATACAGAAGATACACCATATTCAAATATACATAATACAGAAGATATGTGAACCTGGAAGAGGGGCCGACCAAGGGCAAGATGGATGGATGGCATCCTTGAAGTGACTGGACTGACCTTGAAGGAGCTGGGGGTGGTGACAGCTGACAGGGAGCTCTGGCATGGGCTGGTCCATGAGGTCATGAAGAGTTGGAGATGACTGAACTAATGAACAATGTGAACCTGGTTAACTTATAAATAATGAACCAGAAATATAATGAGGCATATCCCCAACTTTCCTGTAGGCACCATGTTCAAATATACAAGCCTGCATTAGTCAGCTCTCTTGGACATACGAAACCAGAAGGTCTGTGTCTTACGTGTCTGGGACAGGATGCCATGAAGTTATGGTCAGTTGTTGAGAAATTGTGCATTATTCCCATAGCTGTCCTTCTTTCTCCTTCCAGCTAAATAACTTTTTCCTCTGCCCAACAAATTGCCCACTACTTGATATCTGTTCAGGATTATAAAATTATTCCTTTCTCTTTTAAATCTATCAAGACGTACCTTTACCAGCCAGAAACCTATCCATAATAATATCAAAGTCTTCCACTTCTTCAAGGAGGACAGAAACTCTGGAAAAATGATAGTAGGAGACCAAGACATCTTTTGGGTTTCTGGCCACATAAATAATCTGCAGAAGCAATGATATTAAAATTATATTTAAAATCTAGTTTGGAAAAAAGGTTCCAGTCACCCAAACAATGTGTCTAGTAACTGGACTTCCTCGCAAGTTGAGTTCTTTTGATGGTGTCATCTGGTTTCAGACTAAATTTACTCCTCTTTAAGGAATTCATTAGTGAGCATGCCCAACTGGAGAGAAATGAATGCACATGTAGAACATATGTAGCATCCTAGTTCCCTACATTGCTGAATTTGTTTCAAGCATCATCCCATCCACCACTCTCTATCATATAGGTAATATATTTGCAATCTATGTTATGATTGTTGTGTTGTCACAAGTTTATAACAACAGTAACTGAAACCTCACAATACAGGGCAGAACAGGTCTTGTCGAAGTCGGGGTAAATGCTTTTCCTGCACACTTGCAACTCATGCTTGGATCCATGTAGATCCAATTTCTCTCATTGCAAAAATTCCAGCATCAGACTGGTAGGTAGGGTTCATTGATCAATAAGCAAGTTGATTAATGCCTGAATCTGGACTCGTGCATGTGGCAGCACTGCCACGTGCATTACGTAATTTGATGTATTACGTCACATGTGAAGTAATCCCTCCATTCAAGTGTGTTAGAGTTTTATGTTATGTTATATAGAATAGAAGTCATGGATGAACATACAATGTAATTTTAGAGGCTTTTCTTAAAACTTTGTAAGCTACCTTGAATCTCAGTCAGCAGTTACTTATTAACTGACTTTGGGACCAACATTTAATGTCAGTTATTAGGGGTGTGCACGGTACTGTTTTCAAAACTGGATCCAGAAACTGAAGCTCTGGAAATGGGACAGCTGTTGGGGCTATAATTGACTTGACCGAACCGGACCACATGGGGGCTGCACCGTGGCAGCAATTACACGTGTGGGGTTCCCCCCCACTAGCCTTGCCTGAGCCAATGAGAGCAAGAAAGCAGATCATGTGTCTTTTTGCCAAGCTGATCTATATATACCAGGGTGAACTCTTCCATTTTCCTGTGGCATCTTGGCTTCTGAGAGAGAGAGAGATTGTGTGCTAGCTTGCTTCGTGTCCTATCTCAATGCCATCACTTCTTAGGATCACTTTTTGACTGAAGTAATTACTTAATGAAAAAGTAATTAAAATTCATTACATCATTATATGGACCCCTTGGAAACTTTTATAAACATTTTAGAAATCATTCCCCTCCTTAATTTAGTTAAGAGTACTGAAACATGTTTTTTATTAATCTCACAGGCCTAGTGTGTAYTCCTGYCCCAGTTCACATTTAAGAATTGTCTACAAATCCGTGGATAACCCAAACATTCTGAAATTTGGGGGACTTGCCMTCATAAATGTGTCCTCCAATTGTGGCCATTTACCTCCCAATAGCCCTAGAAATGWCTGAAAGGGGAGCCTCAAAAGTTCCCCCATTGCTGCCAATAAGTCAGATCTTCCCTGAATGAAAACAGTACTTCTGGCTGATGGAACAAGAAATTGTATTTTCCCCCTCCCGGTTTCAGGAACTTCCTAAAAAACAGAGCAGGGGCTGACTGAAAATCAGCACTGAAAATGGTATAAGTTTTTTTTCTGAATTGCACACCCCGATCAAGTATATAAATGTAGAAAAAAATATTTTAACAGATAGATAAAGAATAAAGCACCCATTATTGAACATTTTCCAATTGTCAATAATAGGGTTGCCGTTATAGTGGAAGCAAACAAAGCTGGAGGCACCAGTAATGAAAGAAAGCTAGTGAACAGTGGGAAAGAAGGGATTGTGGCCAGGAGCATATGAACTCAGATGGTGTGTTGAAGGGGCAGGGAATGGCTTTTGAAAATGCAGGAAGCTTAGCACAGCTGAGAGAGAGGTGTGAGATGAAAGGAAAACTGCTGGCAGTACAGAATCATACGTAGAAACAAGACTGTTGATAACAAAGTGAAACATTTGATTGAAGACACTCAGCTGTAGGGTTTATCTTGGAGAAACATAAATAACATGGAGCTCCATAAGTGGTGAACTTTTTGCAACAACACAGAGTTTCTGTCATAAGAATGAGGAGTATTAATTACACACTAGCCTCTTTATCTTTTCTTTATTGTCATTTATGTATTTCAAGAACCTTGAAGGAAACCTTCCAATAATTGTTACTGATTTAAGAGAAATATGGTCTCCTAATAAAGTAACTATTACCCACTCCTTTGTACTCTATACGTTCATGAAACATGCAAATCTGTTCCAATGCTCTCCCACCCATGAAAGAGAAATTTTGACAATCCATCATAACTTTTGTAACATGTGTGCCAAGAACCTTTACAATGGAAAATTATAGATGCTTCAAGTTTTGAAGACTCTGATCATTGGGCCTCTGGCAATGACTGAACAGTGTGCCTTCCTTTGCTAGAGATGCTTATTCTCAGAAGACCTTTCTAGCTAACTTTTTTAATCCTTCTCACTTCAACATCAAAATGTTTTGTACACATTTTACAGTAAAATCTCCTTCCCAGTAATGACAACAAATTTAGTGAATGAAAGCACTAGAAGTCCTTACCTTTCCTCTTCCATTTTTTATTCCCTTAGGAGCTAAATAATATGGCAGATGGGTAGCAAAGAGGCGAGGTGATGGGCGATTAACATAATCTCTTTTGCGTACATTGTACTCCAGCCATGGAACTCTGTCTGCTAGGTCCATGTCTTCAGTTCCATTTCGATGACCTTCATGAAAAATTAAGCTTAAAATATTCTGTGTCCATATGGTTCCTGTGTGAATATGAATGGACTGGTATAATTCTTTCCTGGCCATCAAGGTACACTTTACTTTCAAGGTAACATAAAGGAAAATATAATGTCTGTTTCTCGGGAAACATATGGTAAGGATTGTCTACACCAGCCCTAAAATCCAAAGTGAACCAGAAGTCCTTCCTAGATGTCCAAATGACATTCAGAGGCTTCCAGCCCTTAACATGGGCTGAGCTGGGGAATGCTGAAACTCCAGAGCAGCCTGTCTTTGATCATTTAGTCCTTTGGAGCTACACAGACTGGACCCCATTCTACCTAAGAAAGGAGTGGGTAGCTTCAGTCATGAGGGAAACAGTTACTGTTTCTGTAGCTGAGAGACTTGAATTTTTTTGCCCTGATTTTAAACCTCTTCGTATTACAGTGTACACATATATGGCAAACATTCAATGCCAAAGACACACAACAGATATAGACAAACAGTCAGACGCTATTTAACTTTTTCTGGCCGCCAGGGGAGCTGTCGCTTTAATCATCCATCTGCGAACTGATGAAGTACTTCCGCATTGCTGGAGTGCTTTGCTGGAGTCAGTTACTGTTTCTGTAGCTGAGAGACATGAATTTTTTTTGCCCTGATTTTAAACCTCTTTGTATTTCAGAGTCCACATGGCAAAAGATAGGAATACCTTCTGGCTGCATCGATATCTCTCATGGCCCTTTTAACTGACAACAAAAACAACATACAAAATGCAGGCCCATGACTCTAACACTGCAATTTCTTTTTTTTCTCCTGTCTGAAGACCATAAGCCCCTGGCTGGGTCAGTATACACATGTTCTTCCCATTCTCCCCATGGTAGTGTCAAGTCCTAGAACACAGCCTGAGGCATGTCAAATAATATTATTCTTCTGTCCTCTAGAGAGGCCACACTCCCATTACTATAATGGTAATTACTAAATCACCAATGCATTTTAAAAGAGGTGATATTATCTCTCCTGATATTAAATTATCATGAAATTTAGTCAATTTCTGTTGTTGGGGAAGAGATTATAAATTGCTTCAAAAGTCTGAGGAAGCCCTCTAGGAAGTCATCAACTGCAGTTGCACAAGCTACCTTGCAAGGAAAAACCTGTAACCAGATGGAACCTCCTTTTTCTGACAGTTTACTTTGGTAGAAAGCTGAAGAACAGAAAATTCATGACCTTACTGAGTAGATGCTATATCTTCTTGCTTTAGGTGACATGGGTGAATTGCTGAAGTGGTGAGCTGATAGTAATTTGTTGACTTGAATATTAGAAGAATTTTAGAAGATGAGAATTTGGGTATCACTTTTCTTTTAGGTTTAATGAAAACTGACATTCTTAAAGGGGATGTTTATATTTCTCTCTGGTGATTCAACTACAATCATTTACATGTCATACTTTTAATGTGTTTGTGCTTTCTTTTGTAATTTCTTCAGATATGTTATTCATTTTTATGCTTCTTTATGTTTGTTTATGTTTGTTTGCCAGGTTTCTGTTTTGTTTGGTATTTATATCCAATCACAAGTAGTTAATATGAAAGGAAGCCCATCTTGACAAAAATGCCATTAATCCAAGTGTTTTCTGTGTTATCACCTTCCCCTCTGCGGCATAATGCAAAAATAAGCCAAGTGTAGTTCACATTTGATCAGCTCACACATTGCCTTGACAGAGTAAGAGAATATGCCATGTAGGTGAACAATGAAGAACAAGGAGTTTGCCCTTCGTAGTTCATAACAACATATGTTCATCCTGGGGACGTGGAGGAGGCCCTTGGGGCTGTGAGGGCGACCACGTCGGCTCTGGACCCCTGCCCTTCTTGGCTACTTAAATCAGCCAAAGGTGGTTTGACTGATTGGTTTATGTTGATCATTAATGTATCGTTGGAGCAAGGGATTTTTCCATCTGGACTAAAACAGGTTGTGGTCAGACCACTCTTGAAAAAGACCTCCCTTGACTCCACGGTCTTGAACAACTATAGACCAATCTCCAACCTTCCTTTTTGGGCAAGGTGTTGGAGTGGGTGGTCGCCTCTCAGCTCCAGGGTTTCCTGGATGACATCAACTATCTGGATCAGTCACAGTCCGGCTTCAGACCTGGCCACGGTACCGAGACGGCTTTGTTTGCCTTGGTGGATGACTTCCGCAGGGAGCTGGACAGGGGGAGTGTGACCCTGTTGGTTCTCTTGACATCTCAGTGGCTTTCGATACCATAGATCACGGTATCCTTCTGAGACGACTCTCCGGGATGGGCCTTGGAGGCACAGCTTTGTTGCGGCTCCGGTCCTTCCTGGAGGGTCGATCCCAGATGGTGAAGTTGGGAGACACCTGGTCGGACCCCTGGCCTTTGACCTGTGGGGTCCCGCAAGGTTCCATTCTGTCTCCCTGCTTTTTAACATCTACATGAAACCACTGGGAGAGGTCACCCAGAGTTTTGGAGTTGGGTGCCATCTCTACGCAGATGACACGCAACTCTACTACTCTTTTCCACCTAACTCCAAGGAAGCCCTCTGGTGCTGGACAAGTGCCTGGCCGCTGTGGCTGTCTGGATGAGGATGAACAAGCTGAAGATCAATCCCGACAAGACAGAGGTGCTCCTGGTCGATCGTAAACCGGATCGGGGTATAGGGTGGCAACCTGTGTTGGACGGGGTTGCACTCCCCCTGAAGTCACAGGTTCGCAGTTTGGGTGTCCTCCTGTATTCATCACTTATGCTTGAGGCTCAGTGGCCAAGAGGGCCTTTGCACAATTAAGACTCGTGTGCCAACTGCAACCATACCTCGTGAAGGCGGATCTGGCCAGGGTGGTCCATGCCTTAATCACCTCCAGATTGGAGTACTTTAATGTGCTCTACGTGGGGCTGCCTTTGAAAACAGCTCGGAAATTTCAGTTGGTCCCACAGGCGGCGGCCAGGTTGTTAACTGGCGCTCCTTACAGGGAACGGTCAACCCTCCTGTTTAAGGAGCTCCACTGGCTGCCATTCATTTTCCGGACCCAATTCAAGGTACAGGTTCTTACCTACAAAGCTCTGAATGGTTTGGGACCTGCCTACCTGCGTGACCGCATTTCTCTGTACGAACCCACATGATCTCTTCGATCATCTGGAGAGACCCTACTCACGCTCCCACCTACATCGCAAGCGCAATTGGTGGGGACGGGAGAGAGGGCCTTCTCGGTGGTGGCCCCTCGACTCTGGAACTCACTTCCTAAGGACATCAGGCATGCCCCAACTCTGGCAGTCTTTAGGAGGAGCTTGAAAATGTGGTTATTCCAGTGTGCCTTCCCAGAAAAATGAACCCTTAGCATTATGTCCTCTAAAGCACTTTATAGTGATTTAGGATTGCTTGTCCGTTTCCACCAATACCCCACCTCCTCTATCTTGTTCATGCCCAGCATTATTTTTTTAATTTTAATTACATTTGGACCAGCCATAGATTTTAAATGTGTGTTGTGCTATTGTTCAATGTTTATGCTATTTATGTATGAGATTTATTTTAATTGCTTTGTATTAGTATTTGTATTTTGCTTTGTATTGTGGTTGTATTGCCTGTATTGATGTATTGTGGGCTCGGCCTCATGTAAGCCGCATAGAATCCCTTGGGGAGATGGTAGCGGGGTATAAATAAAGTATTATTATTATTATTATTATTATTATTTATGTACCATGTGGTCAGTTGCATCAACTCACATAATATCCCTTATGAGATATTTAAAACTGTCTTCCTTTGTTCATGTGGATACTCTCCTTCAGCAACTCATGAAGCGAGAGCACACTCCAAACTCTGTTTTTCTGCTTCTCTCTCTGCATCTGCATAGCTGAAGCCTGAACAAAAATGTAACAGTATCCAAAAGTCCCAGGCTCAGCTTGCTCCCTGGGCAACGCCCAACCAATCAGCTTCAGGCATCTTATTTTACAGTTGACACATACATACTCACTGATTCCTTACATGCTCCAACACCCTCTATATTGTACATTCTCCTCTCACCTCAAAATGATGATGCATGATTTAATCAATTTAAATTTTCACTCCATTCAGTCTTCATATGAAATCATACAAATATCATGTTCTCTAAGTAAAATATTTTCATTCCTACCTGATTTTGGAAAAGTGACCTGAAATATATCGCTGTCTCTGATTTCAAAATCCTCCAGTAAATCAATATATTCTGGTGTAACCAAATCTGAGGGAAAATAGCTTTGTTTGTGTTTGAACAGGAACTTGTTTGATGGCTCCATTGTTGGTGCTGCTGACAGGAGAATACAAAAAAAAGCCAATAGTTCTTTCAACTACTTGGATGGAATGAAAAACAAGAAAACAACATCAGAAAATTAATTTTTAATTCCAAATTTACATGAAATTCACTCACTTTTCCATGAATAGACGGAGGGGGAGAGAAAAAGAGATGTCCATCTCAGACAGTGCATGTGTTCATGTCGCATATACACATATCCAGATATATGTGAGACATCCTGGAACTGTGTTATTTCCTGATGTCTACCCAGGAACAAATATCCCTTAAACCTAGGGCATTAATCAAATATGCAGCCTGGACAGAACAAACACATGTGTTTTTGTGTTACTTAATATGCACATGTTTTCTTTCTGTAAACATGTACAGTTTTGTCCCCAAAATATTTTTTTCTCTAAGGAAATTTTTTTCCAAAGCAAAATCTAAGAAGAATATTTTACCACTGGAGCAATTCTCAGGGTGAATAGAAGAATTTGGGGAATAAAGAGACTGGGGGGAGCATAGATAGAGTGTGGGAACAAAGGGTAAAGTTGGAGACACAGTGGGAAAAGGCATGGCTCGACTTATTGGGCCAGGGAAGTTGCGGTGCGGGGCGCCCCCCGCCGCCATTTCCGCCTGAGGGGGCTTCTTCCTCCCAGAAGCCCCCTCGCTCAGCGGGAAGGTTTCCCGCCATCCAGCAGGGTGGCCCTATCAGCTGCTAGCCACGCCTCCAGGCGGGAGAGGTTAGAGCTGACCTCCCCTCCCTCATGGGCAGCCTATTTAAGGCTGCCCCATGCTCTCAAGCAGGCACTGGGCCTGCAACAGCTGATCCACCCTACCCACCCTGCATGTTGTTCAAGTATTTGTTTACGGTTAGCTGGTTTTGTTACGTTGTTACGGTTTCCTGTTCTTGCTTGTTTTTGATGCTTCCCATCACAACTCCAGGTTGGCGTGGGGCATGGGCCCTGGATCTGGTCTGGTATTCCCTCTAGTGGTAAGGGGGAATGCCTGGTGGTCTCAGGGGTGCCGATTTTATGTTGGGCCCGGTATGGTGCCAGCGGCACCCTGGCGTGTCTCGCAGTATCGGACAGCAGTGGGCTGCCCGATCCTGATCCAGGACCCATGCATGGCTGCCAACCCTTCTTCCTGTTATCAATAAATGAGCTGTGGCCATTGTTTATCCCAACACCCTTGTGTGAGTGGTTTTTCTCGGGCCGGCAGGGGGAGGTGTATCACCCGTGCACATGCAAATAGCTCTACAGCTCAATAACCTGGGGTTGGAAGTGTTTCAACCAGTTTTGGATGGGGTTACACTCCCCCCCAGAAATACTGTGTTCACAGCCTCTGAGTGCTCCTGATCTGTCTCTCCAGGCAGTTCTTACATTCAGGAGTACTCTTGTCAGCTTTGGCTGTGCCCCTCTCTAGAATTTAAAGACCTAAAGATGGAAGTACACTGGTTGGACTTCTGCAACTCACTCTACATTGGGCTACCAAGTTCAGAAATTCAGATTCATTCAAAATATGGCAGCCATATTGGTTGTAAGTACAATCACTAGCATATCACACCTATAATAAAATCACGCTGCCGACTACCTATTAGTTACTGGGAAAAGTACAAAGTGTTGGTCATTACCTTCAAAATTCTACATGGTTTGGGTCCAGGCTACCTTCAGGATCTCTGTCTCCAGTACAATCGGGTCCTCTTGGGACGTTTACTCCAAGCAGCAGGAACCCAACTGGAAATTGTCACCCAGGGGACCTTTTCATTGGCCACCTCTAAACTGCAGAATGACCTCCCAGAAGATATTCTACAGCTAAATGAGTTTCAGAATGTAAAACAAAACCAAATACCTCTCTCTTTTAGCAGGCCTAACCAGTCATCCTGTCTATGTCTTTTAATATGTGTTTTAATGGCTTTATATTTTTATCTATGTATTTTATTTATGTATTTCAACAATGTCGTATCCTGTCTCAATCCTTGATGAGAGGTAGGTAAGAAATAAAATGTATTATTTCATGATTAATACTCTGATTACTGAAAAATAAATACAAGAAAAAATCTGTATAACTATATGGAATAATAATGGGTTTGGGGTTTGTTTGTTTTTTTAACTTTTTGGACTCAGTGATAACATATAGTGAAAGGAAAATGTTCTGCCCTACAAGTATCTACATATAGACATCACCTTTCAATGATGACTCCCCCCCCCCCCCGGCCCCTCACACACATACACTCAAACATACCATGACCTTAATAGGGACCCTAAAAACATCTCAGGGCTTCCTGATTAAATCTCTGGGCTGTCTAGTAGCTGATAGATACAGAACACTAAGTGGCCTCATTGAACCCCATTCCCCAAACTTTGACCTGCATTTTGTTTGTCTATTTGTTCAGAAGTTAATACAAATAATTATTATCAAACAGCACTTACCTAGTTAATTTTGTTTGCTAAATTCAGCAAAGAATCTTCTGTTGCTTGGATTATTACAGTTAATTATAAAGTCTGCTCTTGTCGCTTTCCAGGAAGTCACTATTTAACAGCATATAGGGCGTGTGAATTACTTTATTGCAGCCTGATATTTAAATAAAAGGGTGTGCCGTGGTAAATCATTGCATAAGCAACTCCATCATTACATAACCTGCTGTACACAAACACTGCTGACTGCCAAGAATGAACCCATGGGTAGAAAAGTTAACTCAGGTCAACTCAAATGTCATTAAATCTATCCATTCAAAATGTAGACTGGTCTTTATTGTATTGGATCACTGGTCTTAATGTATACCACCCAGAAATCTCCTTTGGTATTTTTTTGGTATTAGTGAAATTGATGTATTTTTGATGTATAATTGATGTATAATTGATGTATTTTAAAACACATACCCACTCCTTTTTGCTTCTGGTGTATGTGCAGTCCAAGCTCTGCAGCAACTCAGATGCATTTCTGTATCCTTTCACTTTTTCAGGTTTAACCAAGGTGGTGTACAGCTGGGGAAGAGTGTGGAAATGGGACAGCAGTCTCGGCCTCTACTCTAGTCCCTTCTACACCTCCATAAAATCCAGATTATCAAAGCAAATAATCCATATTATCTACTTTGAACTGGATTATACGAATCTACACTGCCAAAAAAACAGAAGATACAATAATAAATTATTCCAACTAAATGAGTCAATTTCCAAYTCATTTKGGRGGRAAATGCTTCTCAAAATTGTGCATATTTCAAAAAATTGTATTTAATATTGAGACATTGCAATAAATGTTTTTAAAATCAYTTTGCTCAGCAAATGTTGCCAACAGRTGTCATAACTCCTCATTGATATTCCACAAGGGCAGCTTTTCYAYCCTCTTTTAAAAYATTGTYWATTTTTTCACTCTGTGCCACAGTTATCTTGTTTTTCCAGTCTCCAGTTGCACCTRTTCAAGAGAGAAAAGGTTATTATCATGTATTCTGAATGGGAAAGGGGTTTAAAAATCACAAAATACTTACTATATTGCCCACTAACCCATGCCCATTGAGATACCAGATAGAAATGTMACAAAGCACTAGAGCAYTGTAACTGGATCTCCTGGGATTTTCCTAAAACTCATGCCAACTCCATGGAACCTCCAATGAACCTTATGTTCCTGACTCCAGGATGAATAATCTGAATCTCCCAGAGATTATTTCTGTCTATGAGCAGCTTTGATGGCACATTCATGTTAATTATTCAAGAATATGCATATCTTGCTATATGTAAGCACGATTAATGAGGCTGTTGAGCCACAGACTTAATAAAATCCTATTAATTTTATATGCCAGTCTAACCTTGGAATATGTATTTTTTTTATCTGTATGAGTTGTTTTAAACAAAGATTTTCCAACTGCCTGAAGACCTCTCTATCTCATGATGTAGCCCCTCCACACAGCCATCCAATGCTCGCTGGTAACCTCAAGATTGGACATCTGAAGTGTTCTATACATTGGGCTATCTCTGTACCAATTAGTTCAAAACATGGCAACCAAATTGCTTACAGAACATCTAGGAGCATATTATACCCATGCTAAAGTCCCTCCACTGTTTGCCAATTAGTTTCTGGACAAAGAACAAAATGTTGGTCATAACTTTTAAAGCCCAGGTGGTTTGGGTTCAGATTGCCTACAGAATCACCTGAAATCAGTGAAATGATACAGAAATCTGCCCCTAGAACAGTGAGTTCCTCTGTGGGGCTGCTACTCCAACCAGCCAGAACCCAACTGGAGACCATCACCCAGAGGATCTTTCCATCGCCCGCCCTGAGACTGTGGAATGACCTGACTGAAGAGCTCTAACATCTAAATGTGTTGTCAGAATTTAAAACCCAACTGCATAGGGAAGGTTAATACTCCCGCAGTGCTTGTTTTGCTCTATGTTCCTGTTCAGAAGATTTCACCTCACTTTCTGTTCCTCTGAGATTTGGATTTATTAAAAAATGGCTTCTTGTGAAAACAAGAATTGGTGATAAAGCTTTAGTGGAGACACCTTTTCCCCATTATAACTCTTTCAAGAGTGAATTTTCCTTCCTAGGAGTAGATTTTTCTCACTTCCTATTGTCTCACCCGTGTTCTTAACTGTGAGTCATTTGCAATTCAGATGTTTGTAACTCGGGTACTGTCTGTAACCCCAAGCTAAGGTGATGATTATATGTTTTGAACTATAAAAATTGTAAATCAATATGGAGAATTTAAAAAAAAAAGAAGCAGAAAAGATTGTTTTCAAACCAGGAGCACAATCACAGTTTCTGCTCTCAGTTGGAATTTGCATTAAGAACTTGCAAACCAGTTTCAACAGATGAACAAATTATGGCCTCTGCTGGTGAAAACAGAAAGTGTTTTCTCAGCTTGTCATTCACTTGCATCGTTTTACAAGAACTGATTTTAGAAACACAGTAGTGGAAACGTTTTATCTTTTTACATCATTATTTTCCTTTTTTTCTTTGCTATTTGTGAAAAAATACTGAAAGGTGTTTAATAAAAGAAAACATGTGAATGATTATGAGGTTGGCAAAAATCCAGATATTGTCATTGTAATCACAATTCAAAGAATAATTGAATTGAACAGGAGTTAGAATTAAACAAGATCTTAAGGTTATAGTAAAAGAATCTATGAGCATTTTAGAATTCACAAAACTGATTGGCCAAAAAGGATACAAAAAAAGACTACAAAAATTAGAAGAAAAGTTGTTCAAGCCTTTAAGCTTTGTTCAAATAGACAAAGTTTACACTGAAAATATGAAAGCCCATTTAGATGGAAGAAGCCTTCAAGTTCTGTTCAAACAGATACAAAGCCTATGTAAAATCTATGGAAGTCCATTTAGATGGGAGAAAGATGTTGAACTTAAATTGACAATTTTCTATTAACATGATGACTTTACAAAAAGATTAAGAAGAATACAATGCAATAAACAAACTAATAATAAAATTATAAAAATAAAAATAAAGATTTTTCTGCGTAGGGGTGGATTGGTGAAATAAAAATATTAGGAATGAAGGGGGAATATAATAAAATATTACACAGAAATAAAATGTAGTTAAAGAGATTGATTGAAATACAAAGAAATATGATATGTGAAACAAGGTAAGATTAATTTAAATTAAAAGGGAAAAATCGGGCTGGCAGAATATTGAAGTAATGAATAAAGTATATAATAAGAAATTGAAATCTAGTTTTAAATGTCAAATTGTTTATATTAATATTACTCATGAGTTATGTATTAATTCTGAACATATTTGCATTTCTTTAGCAGAAGCAGAAATGCCACTAGGTAGAAATAAGAAGTATAACTGTGTCTTATCCCACTAGAGCTGAAAGAGGCAAAGAGTATGCGTCCCATCTGAAACCCTGCAGCTGCCTCCTTCCTGCAGAATCCCGGGGCTTTAGTGATTTCCAGGGCCCCTTTGGCTGAGCATTTTAAAGGCCCCTCCCTAAACTACAACCCTCAGGATTCTGCAGGAAGGAGGCAGCCACAGGGTTTCAGATGGGATGCCTCCTCTTGCCTACTTTTTCAGCTCTAGTTTGATACCGGACAGTGTATCATTGTTACCTTTGTCTGAGGAGATGAGGAGTCATTGTGTTTTTAATTTGAAATGAAAATAAAATGGGGATTATAATTTGTTTTTGTTTTAGATGATAGAGGTGTGAGGGGTAGAAATGGGGTGGGAATGACATAGGATTCATTTTAAATATTCTTTTTCTGTTTTATCTTATTTTCTATGTTCTGTGTATTATTGTGTGTGTGTTTTATATTATTTTGATGGTTTATAATTTGTTATTGTGGTTTGTGTTACTCTCTTGATAAATCTAAGAAAAATTATTATGTTGTCGAATGTTTTCATGGCCGGAATTACTGGGTTGCTGTGAGTTTTCTGAGTTTTATGACCATGTTCCAGAAGCATTCTCTCCTGACATTTCACCCACATCTATGGCAGGCATCCTCAGAGGTTGTGAGACCTCTCAGCCTCTGAGGATGCATGCCATAGATGTGGGTGAAACGTCAGGAGAGAATGCTTCTGGAACATGGCTGTACATCCCAGAAAATCACAGCTTACTTACTTACTTAGGCGATCCCTCATAGCTCGAGGATTATTGTCTTCCAGATGTGGTTTCTTGGCAGTGGGTCTGTAGGCGGCTGTGGAGCCCGATTCTTGATCCATATCTTCTCCCGCAGTGAGGACATCGTTTTCCAGGTGGAAGGTGGTCCTGGTCAGGGTTGGCTTGATGCACCTTCCTGTTGGCATATTTCTCTCTTTCGCCCTCCATTCATGCCTCTTTGAATTCTGCAGCACTGCTGGTCACAGCTGACCTCCAGTTAGAGCACTCAAGGGGCAGGGCTTCCCAGTTCTCGGTGCCTATGCCACAGTTTTTAAAATTGGCTTTAAGCTCATGCTTAAATTTCTTTTCCTGTCTGCTAACATTCCTTTTCCTGTTCTTGAGTTCGGAGTACAGTAACTGCTTTGGGAGATGGTGATTGGGCTTTCAGACAATGTGACCAGTCCAGCGGAATTGAAGGTGGAGGACCATCGCTTCAGTGCTGGTGGTCTTTGCTTCTTCCAGCACACTGACATTTGTCTGCCTGTCTTCTCAAGAGATCTGCAGGATTTTTCAGAGGTAGCACTGATGGAATTTTTCCAGGAGTTGCATATAACGTCTGTAGACAGTCCACGTTTCGAAGGCGTATAGCAGAGTTGGGAGGACAATGGCTTTATAAACAAATCTTGGTCTCCCTACGGATATCTTGGTCCTCAAACACTCTCTGCTTCATTCAGAAAAATGCTGCACTTGCAGTTGTGGGGCAGCCACTGAGAAGGCCCACCCTCTCATTCCCACCAACCAAGCTTGCGATGGAAGTGGGACCGAGAGAAGGGCATCTCAGGGTCTGGGCAGGTTCATATAAGGGGATGCGGTTAGCCATATAGCCTGTACCTGGACATCTAGGACTTTAAAGGTCACAATCAGTATTATGAATTGTGCCCAGAAACAGATTGGCAGCCAGTAGAGCTGCTGCAACAGGGGGTTTGTCCCAGTGAGCCCCAGTGAGCAACCTGGCTGTAGCATTTTGGACCACTTGTATGGGCTCAATATATATGTTACACTGAAGAGACAAATTTGGCAATTACTCTGATTGCAATCCAATACCAATCTGATATTAACTATTATTTAAGGCTTCACACACACCCATATGACCCAAATAATGTATCTATTGAGTGAAGAGTTTCTAACCACGGCAATTTCATGCCGTTGTGT